GCAGTATTCCAACTGCGGTCTGACCAGTGCCCGATAGAGGGGAATTATCACCTCCTTGGTTCTGTTCGTCATACATCTGCTGATGCACAATAAAGGGCCATTAGCTTTTCTGATGACTTTGTCACACTGGCGACTCATGTTCATCTTGGAGTCCACTAGGACTCCAAGATCCCTTTCCGCTTCCGTGCCTCCAAGCAGGTCATTTCCTAGGCAGTAGGTATGCTGGACATTTTTCCTCCCTAGGTGCAGCACTTTGCATTTCTCCTTGTTGAATTGCATTCTGTTGTTTTCTGCCCATATGTCCAACCTGTCCAGGTCTGCTTGTAGTTGTTCCCTGCCCTCCGGCGTGTCCACTTCTCCCCACAGTTTTGTGTCATCCGCAAACTTGGACAGAGTACACTTCACTCCCTTGTCCAAGACGCTGATGAAGACATTGAAGAGTATCGGTCCAAGGACCGAGCCCTGTGGGACCCCACTGCCCACACCCTTCCAGGTCGATACCGACCCATCCACTACGACTCTCTGGGTGCGACCCTCTAGCCAATTCGCCACCCACCGGACTGTGTAGTCATCCAAGTCACAGCCTCTTAACTTGTTCACCAGTATGGGGTGGGATACCGTATCGAAGGCCTTCCTGAAGTCTAAGTAAATGACGTCAACCCCTACTCCTGCGTTCAGGTGTTTTGTAACCTGGTCATAAAAAGAGACTAGATTAGTCAGGCATGATCTACCTGCTACGAACCCAGGCTGGTTTCCCCTCAGCATAATTTTTCCTGCCGGGCTTTTGGAAACTCTTTTTAAAAATCTTGATTATTTAAACAGGAGATTGTTCTGCATACTCTCATTTTTACCCTTTACACTCTTCATTGGAAACAAGTATGTCAGGGGCTTACCAGTGCTGCTAAGTCAGCTACAAAGGGAAGTGAAGGAGGACTCTGAAACGCCATACGACTTGGGAAGTGAAAGGGCAACTTGCTTGGGGGACCTACACTTGGAGGACTTGTTTCTAGGCCCTAAGTTGCCTTTTAGCAACTTGGTAACCCCCTGCTTTAATGATTTTTATGATTAAATTTTAATTTCACAAAACAAAAGAATTTTAGATAACATGCCTGACCCCATCAATGCTTGTCTTTTTACAACCAGTTTCCTGTAATATTCCTTTATCTGTATTAACCTTTAAGATAGTGTTTGATTGGAAGTGAGAACTTCTCATTTCTCACCTTGTGATGCTGCTCTTTCTTGAGTCCATGAGTAACAGAATGACTTGCAGACTTTGTTTCTAAATATTTAACTAATGGAAATATTAAGTCAACAGTACTGAAATTTAGCTTGCAGTTGAACACCAGGAACAAAACAATGGCAGTGTGTCAACAGGACTAAATAAGGTCTTTTGGACAAGAAAATAGTTGATGGTAGGTGGTGGGGAGACTTTCCAAACATCTGTTCATAATTTTTACCTGCTTAAGGTAATGGTAATGCACAACATGCACATTTAAAATAACAAATGTGTTGCCTTGTGATTAAGACCAAATATAATACTTCAGGTTCAGGAATAGGCTTAGACTTTGTGACCACTAGCATAGTAAGGAATGATTATCTGCTTACAGGCTTTGCGTGTTGCTGCAGCACAAAGGAATAATAATTACAAACTAGCCAAAGTCTTATTCAAGGTATTCATCGTTCTTGGTTTCTTTAGTCTTTTATGCAAACAGGTTTGATCAGAAGTGAAAAAGAAATGGCTGGAAAATGATGGTGATTAAAAACCTAAGACAAAAAGCTCCATAAAAACCTGCACCTAAAGAAATTATCGACATGGAAAGCACACCTGCCATAATTTTATGATGAGAATTATAAAGAGGATTTTGCAGACATTTATTTCCTGTTACAGAGTTTAATTATTTCTTCTGCTTTACTGCCCCAGGAACTCATTATACAATGACAAATGGAGGAAGCATTAACAGTTCAACGCATTTATTGGACCTCTTGGATGAACCCATACCTGGTGTTGGAACATACGATGACTTCCATACTATTGATTGGGTGCGGGAGAAGTGCAAAGACAGAGAAAGGCATAGACGGGTGCGTGAGATCAATAACAATAATTGGAAGTTATTTTTTGTTGTGTTTTGCACTAGGGTCTGATCCAGCCACCACTTTTAAATATGGGCATAGATCTAAAATAGTCACATTAGCCTCAGTAGCACTACTCACATTATTAGAGCTACCACCATGCTTAAATGTACTGCAAGATTGGGTTCTCAATTAATGAGGTAGTGTATTTTTCTGAAAGTGCAAATAAGGCTTTGTGCGCACAGAAAAGTCGTGTCCCTTTTTATTGTATTGGTATGTTTAAAGCTACCCTCAGTGTAGGTGCACTTGTACATATTAAAGAGTTTATACTGACATAATTGTTTCTATACAGGAATAAGGCATTTTTATACTGGTGTAATTGCACCAATACTAAGTTGTAGTACTGGTTTACCTATTTAGGTAATAAAATTACATGCTCAACTGAAATAGATAAACCGGTGCAAACACTGTGTGCAGATCAGGCCTTACTAAGAAATTGTTTTCCTTACTTTCCTTTATGAAAACACTTCCAAATCCTGAAATGTTCTTTTTTCCTTTCCATACTGGTCTTCTCTGAAATTCTTCAAACTTCAGGTCTCATTTAGGAAAGCACATGCAGAGCTTCTTAACCAGTGGGACTTGCATGATTTACAGGCCCATTAGTCACTAATATACCAGCTATTTGGGAGATCACTGTCAGGTTTTGGAATACCCACATTAAATTTACCCGTACGGGGAAAACAATTTGACGAGATCAATTTATTGTTTTGTTTTGTTTTGTCCCTGTTTCCTCGTAATATTTTCCTGAACTATTTTAACTTATATAAAATGGTAGGTAGTTTAAAAATGAAAGGTAACTAAATTGAAAACTTCCTGGTACTAAACTAGTTGCCAGCAGGTCTCATGCAAGAAATTTCCTCCAAGTACAATGCCATGTAATTTGCTGCATCACTGTTATTTGTTTGCCTTCTGCAAAAGCACAAATATCGGCTATTGTTGGAAGCAAAATACAAGGCCTTGTAGAGTGATCTGAGCTGCTCTGGCAAATCCTACATTGTTTCAAAAAACTCAAATCCCAATTGTAACTGTTCTAGCCAGTGCTTCTCTCAGGTACACAGATTTGTCTGCAATAGTTCTGAGAACATATACTCTGATTGTATAGGGCTGATATGTTGCTTTTTGCCACCTTTACCTTTAAATAATACTTTCTTTGGTAATTTGATGGCAAATAAGCAGTAGTTAATACAGCTTCCCAGAAATGATGCGAATATATTGGCTAGCCTTAGTTTGTGGCTATCACAGGATGGAATGCCAGAGCTGCCCAAATGCAAGCTGCATGGCTGCCAGTGAGTTGGCCTAGAAAGAAATGAATATCGCTCAAAACTAGCAACGGTTTGTTTAGTGTACATTCGATATGAGTGCTTTATAGAAGTCTGTGTAGCCCAGAATTATTAGTCTTAGAAGAAAGAAAAAGGATACTGACCAGTTTGCAGAGATTTTTAAAAGATGCTTTGAAAATGTAATATATCAGGTCTATAAACATAAAGTATATTCACTTCATTTTAAAAGAACATTGCCAGTTTGAAATTTAATGATCATGAAAAAAAGAGGGGCGGAGAGAGAGTAAAATGAGTTTTATGGATTATCCATGTTTCTAAATCCCCTTGCCCATTTTTGTGATTGATCAGTTATATTTTCTGTTTATTACATATCTTTTCTTTCCTTTTGAATATAAAAAATCCTACAAGAACAGGGATTTTCCAAACAGGAAGAACAGAAAAAGTACTTTTGAAATCAAATTAACTATGCATGAAATGCATTTAGACATACAAAGTAAATAAGCCCCCAAAACAGAGAGAATATTTTCAGTGGCAGTGGTTGTAAGCATCATTTGTAACAGTGTGGGTAAAAATATCAGGCAGAAAAAAGAAATATATGGGTACTTGCAATCAAATTCACCAGATATTAAATGTCCTTGAATTTAGTGGAATAATTTACTTCTAGCTAGGCTCTGTTAATCCATATTTATTCCTTGTTTCTAAAAATAATTTTCTGGTAACTTATTTCAGGTTTAACATACTATAAATTCACTTTCATTTTACAATAATTTATTCTAATAAAATGGACTATCGTGTACATTGTACGTTTTGTCTAAAGTTTATCCTCTGTTGTCCTTTGAATTATACAGATTCTTCTGTTCCTTCTTTTATTATCTTATACTTGAATTACCAGGTTGATCAAATATGTGTATGCAAATAATTATAGAGGGAAAGTGCTTCTTAGTTTAAGGATGAGGATATCTGTGAGCTGCTTTCATCACGAGTCTGTAAATCATATCTTAAAGGTACTAATGTTCCAGTTCATAACACAAGACGATCCATTTCTATTTGCAGATTAACAGCAAGAAGAAGGAATCGGCCTGGGAGATGACAAAAAGTTTATATGATGCCTGGTCAGGATGGCTAGTAGTTACACTAACTGGTTTGGCATCAGGTAAAGATAAATCAGAGGATCCCTTCTAGTGCTTACAATAGTGCACAACTACTTCTCTTTTCTAATTTTTTTCTGATCTTTCAAGCTTTCTACAGTGTGTGGGTTTTTGTCCTTGTATTAAAACAAGTATTATTTTGTTCTTGTATCTGCCCAGTATTATAAATGTATAAATGGGGAGACGTTTATGTATAATACCAGAACAGGATCAAGATAAAAGCATAATCTCATTTGAAGTAGTAAGTAGTCAAGTAACTAATGTAGTTCTTGAAAAAGATTCCAGAGTTTGGAGATTAGAGACTGTTTCTATCCACGAAATAGGTGACCTCCTTGCCCCGCTGAAATCAAGGAGAGCCTTAGCAGGTAAGTAAACTTCCTTACACTGAATAGACTACATAGTTGAATTTTGGCCTGGCACAATAACTTTTAGGACTGAGGTGGATATTCATTCTCCTAATTAATTTATTTATAGTTCCTTCTGTCTGAGATGGTGAGGAAGAGTGTCATTATTGATTGTAAGGATGATTCTTTTGCTGTGGATTTTCCCCTCGCTAGGAATGTATAGAGTCTTCTTTATTCCAACCACATCTATTGATGTTTATGTTGATAGGCTTTGATTACTTTTATTGAGTGAAATCCGGGCCTACTGAATAATCAGATCATTGGGAATAGTGCTGTTGACTTCATTGGACCCAGGAATTCCCAGGGAAAGCCAGCAAATGTTAAGCTGCTCTTAATTCAGTAAAAGATATGACCTTAAAAATTCCTTACTTCTTGCATAATTCCTGGACCATCACAGCTACAACAATCACTCTAACACTACTACTGTTATTCTTCTAGCAGCTTTACCAATATAAGTCCATTGTTTGTCTGTAGAGATGCATTCAATAAATCACCTAATTGAAAGTGTTTGAAATCAGTTTTTGTTACAAAACAGATTTTTATTAGTCATTAATAGTATCCGTCCCCTTGGGTTTGCCCAAATTTAGGGGACCAGACTTAGTGACAGAGAAGGCCTCTGCCACTCTTAGGGTACTATGGAAAACTGTTTTAAACCATAAACTGGTGTGAGCATGAGAAATTTCCTACTAAACTGGTAACAGGAAAACCATGCTTTTGTAAAACTGCCATTTAGTCTCCCTTTCTAACCTGTTTCCTTGAGTTGGGTAATAACGGCTTATCAAAAATTTGCCTTGACTGCAATTTTGACCTACCTTCACATCACAGAAGTCAGTCTTTAAGGGGCTGAGCTTGAGAAGTGCTGAGCATCTGTACTTCTCATTAACTTCAGTGTGAATTCTGGAGACTCAGAGCATCACAAGATCAGCTCATGTGTGGGTTATCTCAGGCAGCGTGTTTGAAATTCTTTTGATGTATCATTTGGGCTTCACTAATATTTTTGTTAGTGAGAGAGTTAATTATGCTATCAAATTTTATGATTGATCTCTTATGTTGAATATACAGTATTTGCTGACATATCACCAGGGATCTTGGTTTTCTGTTTAAAAATCGCAAAACAAAAAAAGAGGCCCCGAGGGAAGGGCAGCAGGGCAGGGAGCCTGAGCCCGTGGCATGGCAGATTGTACCCAGCCCCAGCCCACCCACAGATCTGGGGGACATGCCTGCCCAGGAGTGAACGCAGCAGCAGGGAGACAGCCCCACCTCTCCCCCTGCCCACGAGATAAGCCACCTGTGGCCCTGTCCTGCACCCTGCTTGGGCTCTGCAGCCACACATTCTGGCCCTGGGGCCCAAGCCCCATGCACCCCGCAGCTGGGCAGTAGTCCCAGCCCTGCCCAAAGCCCTCCCTCCCTATGGGTGCCTCAATCCCCCCCCCCACCAGATTTACCTGCAGGAGCTGCTCTCCAAGTCTGTGTGCATGTGCATATGCTCTCCAAGTCTGTGTGCGTGCGTATATGCACATGGCACCCCCTGCCTGACTGCCCTCTCCCCACTCCCCCAGCTGCTTGCAGGCTAGAACTCTGTGAGCCTGCAGAGAGCTCTTTGCAAAAGTGGAAAATCTGCATGTTTATCCATTAATGAGAAATCCAGGTGTTTTTTCAGTTAAAAGGGAAAAACCTCATATTTTTCCCCATTTTTCCATGGGGAACAGAAAACCCAGATTCCTGCATATCACACACACCTTTCCATCAAAACTTAGCCTTCCAAAATTGTTTTTTTCTTAAGTAGGGAAGCTGATTTTTGTCCCAGAATAGCAATTGTAGTATTTCTGTTTAAGCATCTGATGGGATCAGTTCACTTCCTGGCTTATTATAACATTTACGTGATTTCCTGCTAATGGATCTTCTGTCAACAGGTATTAACCAACTCTCCTTTTTTAATGGTCTTCATGTTCCACTAACCAAGCCATCCTTTCTTCTGCAGTTGTGCTAAAGAGTTTACAGTTTAGCTACTCCTGATCACTCGCTTATTTCACAGTCTTCTTATTTCACAGACTTCTTATTTTTAGCTTTTTTTAAAATGCTTGAACTGCCCATGGAATCCAGTCTTCAGGAGCAGCTGAAGTTTCAGCTTTTGCCTGAGCTGTCAAAAGCTGTTGACAGTTTAGCTGGGAAAGGGTTAAAGCTGTAGCTTTTGCCTGGTAGGAAAAGGGAGGGTGAGTAAACTGAAGATTAGGATCTGTCCTTACTCAATATGGCCATAAATCTGGAAAAAAAATATTTTTCTCCATTCTGCCTTCCCAAAAACAAGGTGTGTGTCTTATTTGGGTGTTTGTGATATGTAAGAAAATACAATAATAATTTCAGTGAATCATTTGAGCTACATTAACATGTCAGCTATATCCTCTGTCTTTTTATATATTTACTTTTTTGGACCGTTGAAAAATGGTATCTTAAATTATCATAGCTGATTTAATTAAGGAATTCTGTAATTTATCTGATACAGAATTTTAATGAAAAGACCTAGATCAGTTTCACCCCTTGCAAACTGATTTCCATGGAGGGACTCAATTAGTATTTTACAGAAAATATTTGAAATATCCTCTTTACTTGTGCCTTTTCCTTTAGGTTTGTTTTTATATATCAGTTAACTGCTGTTTTATGTCTGTTATATCAACAGATGTCAGTTTTTCTTGACTTTTTTAATTTCAGAAATCTAACACAACTGTTTGTACAACAGGGGCATTGGCTGGGTTAATAGATATTGCTGCTGATTGGATGACTGACTTAAAGGAAGGCATTTGCCTTAATGACTTGTGGTATAACCACGAGCAGTGTTGTTGGAGATCGAATGAGACTACATTTGAAGAGAGAGACAAATGCCCACAATGGAAAACATGGGCAGAACTAATAATTGGCCAAGCAGAAGTAAGTATAAACCCTAGTGAAGAAAGGGCTAGGATCAAGGAGTTGAACTAGGAACTTGAACATGTAGGTTGTATTATTAGTTGTTGGTGTTCTTTGGCTCTTATTTTGCTTGCCAAACCTGAATATGTTGTAATGAAGCATATACTGGCATAAAAGTGCATTTGCATTTACACTATTGAGGACAGCTATGCTAGTCAAACAATGTTAACAAAACGCTCCCCTTGGGCTTTATAGTTTGATCCTCCAAGCTTCTATCAAAGCTATTTTTTGGTGAGGCTCAGTGGTAGATCTTCTTTATGGGGCAGCTTTCAGCGTAAGGGTATTAATCTCTCTCTTTCTATTTTTCAGTCTCTAAAATTGGAAGCTATAATAATTAATTAATACTTATGAGCTGCTCAGATGCTACACTAATCAGCACAATAGAAATGTCTATAAATAAGTAAAGGGCTCATCTTCTGAAAGAGAACATGGCAGTTTGTGTTCTTGATTGTGGTTATGTGTAAAAATCCCCCAAAAACCAAGACTTGTTTTGTATTAATAAAATTCTGAGTTGGTTTTGTTCATTATTTTTTAGCAGTATGCAGTTTAGGAAAAAAATGACTCCATTAGATTTTACTAGCCTAAAGTTGCAAAAATTGACTGTGTTACCTATGACTCATTGATTTAATTGTTTCACTCTTGGTTTGATTAGTCTGATTTTGATATAGATCAAATAGATATTAGCCTAAACTTTTCTGTACAATTTAATCTAATGATTTTAACTTTTCAGACAAAGCTAATATTTGTTCATGTTAGTAATATTTGTTTCCATTAGACTGTATATGTAATTGTTTTTACCATAAGAGTCCTTCATGATTACTTTTGTTCAATGCATTTTGTTTACATATTAATGGAATTATATTGTGGGGTTTTTCTGCTTGTGTTTTTAGGGTCCAGGTTCATATATAATGAACTACATAATGTACATTTTCTGGGCTTTGAGCTTTGCTTTTCTAGCGGTTTCTTTTGTGAAGGTGTTTGCTCCTTATGCCTGTGGCTCTGGGATACCAGAGGTAGGATATGAAGAATTTCTATTTTTATGAATGTTTAATGCTAAGAAATGACAGATTATGTTGCCTAGATATTATAATAAAATAATGCTAAAAGGTCATGTTACCTTATATTACATACTGCGGGAAGGGGAAGGCAAGAACAAACCTTTAACGTATATACAATACTATATTTAATACAAGTAATAATTTTCATTGCACTAAAAAAATACCAGCAGTCTAAAAATAATGTTGCCTGAGTTCTTGAATTTGCTTTCAGATGACCTGAATTTACAGTGAGACTTTTTGGTTTGTTCTGGAGACCTCTGAAGTGATTTTTTTTCTGTCTTGCCATTTTAGGGATGATAGAACAGTAATTCATTGTTGCAGTGCAATGCCCTTTATTGCAGTAATCAATCTTTTGCTGCATTACCCATTATTGTTTTTAGTAATGCAAACTGATGTGCAACCAGGTAATAAACTAAAAATGTTTTTTGAGCAAATAACAGCAAAGTCTTGTTGTTTGTACAACTACTTGTCACCTGTCTAACTTCAGAATTGTAAGAATTGCACTTTCTGGTCATTCTAGTAGAATGACTGCTTGTTTATAAGTATTACCCAAGATTTTTAAGACTCTGAGGTCCAAGGGTTTGTCCTTGCATAAGAGTCTCCCTTGAAATAAGTAAGAATTTTATGCATTTATCCAAATGCTGTATTGATCCTAAATCTATCTAAATTTACACTGCTAACATTTAAATTATAGGATTATAGCATTAAAGGGCTGGAAAGATCTCAAAGGTCACCTAATCCAACCCAGTTCAGTGGCAGGATTTACTGTTCCTAAACCATCAAAATCAGATACCAGGAAATAAATTCCACAACTCCCTGAGGCAGTCTGCTCCTTTGCCCTATGGTTTAGGAAGCTTTTCTTGAAATTTTAAATTACATCTTCTTTGCTGCAGTTTAAATCCGTTACCTCCTATCCTGCCCTCTGTTGCAAGAAAAGCTATTTTTTTAATTCCCTTATAGCAGCGGTTTAAAAACTACGGCAAAGCCCCATCATCTGGCCCTCAATGCTGCCTTGGGGTCCAGAGTTGACCCACATGCGACACACAGTGGGCGCGTCTGCACATGCATTTTCTGCAGCACCAGTTTACTTGCAAGTAAACTACTCACGAATAAACAGTGCCAGGCAGGGGTCTACACATGCAGGGAACCAGCAGCAGGGAACTGGTGGATCGAGGCAGTGGGCTGGGACTTATCCCACCTCTGCAGCTATTTCCAAGCCTCATGCCTCAATCACCCAGTCGGGGCTTGGGGCTGGGACCTGTCCCTGACCATGACAGTTCCCAGTTCCTGCTCTGCATGCCAGGCAGAGGCTGGGAAGCTTGTTCCTCGCTCAGCTCTGTGAGCCTGGAGCTGGGGAGGAGAACAGGCTGCGGAGCCTCTCCAGCCTATTCTCCCCACAAGCTCTGTGATCATGGAACTGAGTGTGCAACAAGCTCCCCAGCCTGTTTTCCCCCGCACCACCCAGCTCCACGCTTGTGGAACTGGGTGGGAAACAGGCTCCCCGGCCCCCTCCAGCAGGGAACTCCCAGCACCAGCTCCACAACCGCAGGGCCAGTGCTGGGGAGACCCTTATCTCCCAGTGCTGGCCCTGCTGTCCTGGAGCTGTTGCTGGGAGAGAAGAGTCTCCCATCCAGCACCTGCCATACATATAGCGCATCCCCCTGCCCCTCTGCCGGTCACTCTTAGGTGGGTGTGGTGTGCAGCAGGGCTCCCAGACTAGCTGAAGTGGGTGCTGAATGTGGTATACATCCTGGACCGGTACCACATGCAATGCAGTCCTGGACCAGCCAGAGTGAACTACGCATACACTGGATCTCGCAAGTAGAGGGAGAAAGGGTAGGCCCATGGGCCCAACCTGTCCTATGGCCTGGCCCCACACCACTCATCCAGCCCACAAGGCCAGATGAGTTTTTCACCCCTGTGTTGTACCATATTTCTATGGTGCTCATTTGAATTTTCCTTGCTCTGAGTGTGTTACTGTTTATCAATTTTTTTCTGACTAATGGCATAATACTATTAGGCAAAGAAATGCATTTGAAAAATGTAATTTTTTTTCTAGTGAAAATAGCAGCTTTTCTTTATCAGTATGTGTTAGTTAGCCTTACCCTCACATGTTGTTTACAATACCAGCTGAGAATATAAGGAAGAGTAAAATTGGCAAAACAGCATATTAGGATTCAGGTTAATGAAAATAATTAATTGGTATCTCTGAATACAGTTTTCATAGTTGGTTTGTTTCTGCTGCAAGAATTTTATAATTAGCATTTGTCAGGTTACATAATAAAGCTATTTAATGAATATAGTCTTGTACATGACTGGAGGTATCTTTTCTATTTAATATAATCAATCCACAGAGATGCCATATGCCACTGCATTATGTGTGAATATACCTCTTAGATAATAGTGTAAATGTATCATAAGCAGTAGGCTTCTGGTAAACAAACTGACTGTAGATAATTTGACATTCAGTTAGTAATTTGAAAACAAATGTTTTAAGAGTGGTATTCTTCAGGGGAAAAAAACCTCCTCAAATATGTCATTTTAAGCTACATTTCTGAAATGGGAGAGTTAAAATCCTATGAACGTTAAAGTTTGTATATTTTCTAAAGAAAATGAAATGCAATAACATGTTTTTTTTTCTCTTAGATTAAAACTATCTTGAGTGGCTTCATCATCAGAGGTTACTTGGGCAAGTGGACCTTGATGATTAAAACCATCACTTTAGTCTTGGCTGTAGCATCAGGCTTGAGCTTAGGAAAGGAGGGTCCTTTGGTACATGTAGCTTGTTGCTGTGGGAATATTTTTTCCTACCTCTTTCCAAAGTACAGCACAAATGAAGCTAAAAAAAGAGAGGTAAGTTCCTTCTAAAACTCGAAAAATTATGTGTTTTATAATCCATTCTGCTTAGCTTGCAGCCTGAGAATCCTTGCTTTAAGACAAAACAGAAGATGTATCCTGTGTTCAATAGTAAAGGGTGGAAATAGAGATAAGGAGACCACAGTAAGGGGGAAAGAAAGAGTAAAAGGAGAAAGGAAATCCAGAGGGAATGAAATAGAAAAAAGGATAGAATGCAAGAAGAAAAAGAATGGAAGACAGAAACTAGTCAAAAATAAAAAAGCCCCTCCTCCTTTGGTTGCATAATCTAAGGACCATATAGAATGGTGGCCACATATTGTACTTATACTGTTCATTGTCCACATTGAAAGGAAAAAAGCATAGATAGGAAACTGAAGAAAAAATACTCTGTAGTTTATTGACATATGGAAAAAAACCCCAATTCACTTGACCAAATGCAAAGGGAAAAGGTGTCTTTTTGATTAAAGCAATCAGGACTTGTGGGAGAGTTAATGTCTTTCATTAGACCAGGGATGGGCAAAATGTGGCCCGTGGGCTGGATGCGGCCCGCCAGGCCATTCTGTCCGGCTTGCGGGGCCCCTAAAAAACTTAGAAAATTAATATTTATCTGCCCCTGGCTGCCTGTCATGCAGCCCTCGATGGCTTGACAAAACTCGGTAAGTGGCCTTCCGCCCAAAATAATTGCCCACCCCTGCATTAAACCAACTAGTTAATCTTGTAGATTAAGTGTTTCGTATGTAGCACCGGACCTCCACCCCCTCAAAAATCACATCTACAATTGAGAATTCAGAATTACTGGCAGATTCATCGGGTATTTTCTAAGCTTCTGTCTCTCCAATATTTTATTCAGAACTGATTCTTCATGGCAGGAGCTACCCACTGCTCCCTTTTTGAATTTTGCTGCTAGTGCCCATGAGACGTGAGCAGTGAACTTCCTCCATCACTGGCTCATATTAATTCCAGTTAATTTTAATCAGCTCCTGAAATAATGTTTGACTATTAGTTCAAACTATTGTACTTTCATAATAGTGGCTTTGCTGCTGGCTAAAACTCCTGTCCCATAGCAGTTATGTGATGTAGAGAGCTGTCATCACAAGAGAAGCTGGGAGGAAGAACGCTCATTGAGAAAAGACTAACAAGAGAAGCTGGAATGGCAGTACAGGATATAGTGTGCAGAATAAGCAGTTGTGCCTTTTACAGGAGGAAGGGAAGAGATCACCAGTTTGTCTTTTAGGATTCTAAGGTCTCTGCTGCCATGTAAATACTTACTGGTCTGTCATAGCAATAAGTTTAAACAAACACCAAAACAAAATCTCATCGTTCATCTTTTCCAGGTGTTATCAGCTGCATCAGCAGCAGGAGTATCAGTAGCTTTTGGTGCCCCAATTGGTGGAGTCCTTTTTAGTCTGGAGGAGGTATGTGAAGAGATGTGTGGAAATGTATTGAAAAAGGAATGTTTTAACACCAGTAGTCTCAAACCTTTTATATCCAGAGCCTTTTGTAAGACTCTTCCATGAGCCCTGATTCTGCAATGAATTCTTTGTATAGCTTCTTTGCTGCATAGGGTCCTCCTCAGCAACTTGAGTAGTAGCCCACCTTAGGTAGTATTGCTTTATTATATTGGTGTGACTGTTATTTGGCTTTGATTCATTCACTTCAGTGATTTTTCTTCATAAAATGTATGGTCTTAGACATTCACATCATGAATTCTGTTAGGGGCAAGCTCCTCAGATAACACTGGTTCATACGAGTGTCATAGGCTAACATTTCTTTGTTTCTGTTTTATATTTCATGAATAGAGTTAATCCAAATGTTCCTGGTGACAATTTAAAATTCCCCCTTATTGGCAAAGAAAGAAAATGAGTACTTACCAAGAACTGAAGCTGCTGGTGGGGGGGATGTTATTGTGCAATTAAATCCTTGCCTGTTTTTAATCCCTACACTTTATATTTAAAAAAAATTGTACATGTAGGAGCCTTCTTAATCTAGTGTATTGTAGAAAGTGCTGATCGGCTTATCTGGCCTTGCCAACTTGCTTCTAACACTCTAATTTCCTGATGCTAGAAATATATTTTGTTAATTTAAAAAAAAGGCAAATAAAGGTGTTCTTTCTATCCATTTTGATAGAACAGGCATTGGTCCAACATGGATTCTACATTTTTTAATAACTGAAAACATCATTCTAATATTATAAAAACTTAAGTCTGTCTGTCTGTCTGTTCGTAACACTTTATTCACGCTCTGATTGGCTGATGGAAACAGCTATTCGGAGTACTCCAAGCGTGGGGGAGCGCTACCATGATTCTGACGCTGCGCTGAGGACTGGACAGAGGTGCCACTGGCCTTGGCTCCCCCACCCCACTCCCTGCAAGAGGCAGAACAATGGCAGCATGGGGAGTTACGTGGCGGCACTCCATCCCAGCCCCCTGCCCCCAACGCTCCTGTCATTCTTGACGGGCAATTGGCTAGTAACATTATATTTATAAAGACATTATACTATAAAACTGAACTCCAAGCTAGTGAAATTCTTCTCTCATGAATATGCGTTTTCAGTTCAGTATCCCTGCCCTTTTTTTGTATTTGGTAGCCTTAGGAGTATATTTCAGAGCATTAGTATCTATATGAGACAGCTAATTTAGATCTAATTAAAAATCCCAGTTTCAATACTTTGAACATTAGAGGTGAAGAAAAGAAGCAGCCAGGAGACTTTCCACATGTAATTTCTGCCTTATTGCTGTAGTATTCTGGAAACATCTCTAATATTTTTAAGAAAAAACAAAAAGGAAAAAAGAAACATCTTGGAAGTTGATGTCCAAGGCTATTAAAAAATCATGCTAATTATAGGTGGGTTAGCAGGCCTGATTTTAGGTGGCAATTTTTTCGTATCTTGGCAATAGATCTTGAAATCCCATTAGCCACCTGAAGCACTTTCTACAGTACCACTTTCAGTGGAGCCAAACCATTGTTAGTAACAGCGGCAAGTTTTAAAGAAGGCTGCTAGAGTGCCTCAGCAGGTGGTGTGCATAGCAGAGATCACAGCTGAGTATGTTAAGGCCATAACTATTTGTTAAAATTTAGCGAGTAATTTAAAAAAACATTACCATTCTCAAGAATTTTGCCAAAGTCTTGATGTGATGATGCTTTTAGCATTGCTTTTGCACTGGCTTGTCCATTAAGGATGATGCAGCATAACTATGAAATGCCTCATAGCGCTTTAAACATATAAAATAATATATAGAAGTGTCCAGAATTGCTATTTTTGGTTGATAACTCAGTGTTTTCTTGCTTAGTGCGAACAAAGGATGGAATAGCTGTTGTTTTCTGTGGATTTTACTTTGAAATGTTGTTAAAATGAACTGCTGGTAATTCTAACTTTTCCCCTTTGCAGGTCAGTTATTACTTCCCACTAAAAACTTTGTGGAGGTCATTTTTTGCAGCTTTAGTTGCTGCTTTTGTTTTGAGATCCATCAATCCTTTTGGTAACAGCCGTCTAGTTCTTTTTTATGTGGAATACCACACCCCCTGGTACCTTTTTGAACTACTTCCTTTCATTCTCCTGGGGGTGTTTGGTGGGCTCTGGGGAGCATTTTTCATTCGTGCAAACATCGCCTGGTGCCGCCGCCGCAAATCAACAAAGTTTGGGAAGTATCCTGTCCTGGAGGTCATCATTGTTGCAGCAATAACAGCTGTCATTGCCTTTCCCAATCCATACACAAGGCTCAACACCAGTGAACTCATTAAAGAGCTCTTCACAGACTGCGGACCCTTGGAATCCTCCTCTCTCTGTGATTACAGAAATGACATGAATGCCAGTAAGATTGTAGATGATATTCCTGACCGTCCAGCAGGCACTGGAGTTTATTCGGCCATATGGCAGTTGTGTTTAGCACTTATATTCAAAATAATTATGACAGTCTTCACCTTTGGCATCAAGGTAAGTCTTCACATAAGGATTTCAAAATGCAGTGTGATAATTACCACTCTTTCTTTCTTTTTAATGATTGTTGAAACAAATCTTTTAGGAAATTGCTTTTGCTTTAATATTAGTTCTGTAAATGGCCATTTTGCTTATAAAGGGGTCTGTTGAAATGTACATCAAGTACAGAAACACGTTGGCTCTATGGTGTCAAACCCATACAAACTGAAATAATGCTTCCCAGATTTCTGAAAACTAAATGCACATCAAAAAAATGAAATCAGGCTCCACCAGCACTGCCATGTGATGTCAGAGGCCTGCCTGTCTGAATGCATATCACTTCTCCATATCCTGTTCCAATGCAGTCCTTCTGAATGTAGTGGGATTTGTAGATTAATTTATCAGATAGTTCAGAGTAGACTTTCTGCTTCACTGCTCTGATTCAGTTGCTTTAGTTGAACCTTTCTTCTTTTTGTGGTTCTTCAAGTTTAATTGTTAGGAAAATATTTTTGTACAGTGATGGATATTTGTTTCTTGGTCTACATACAGTCAGGGTAGGGATTATGCTCATCTCCTGTAGTAGGGAACAATAAAAAAACTTATTTGTTGCTTATTATGGATAGGATACAATTGTACATAATCAGGCCCATGGGAGGAAATGAATAGGGAAAGGATATTGGAGCATGAGTCTAGCAAAGAACTGGAAACAAGTTGATCTAAGTGAGTAAGCAAAAGCACTTGGGTTCTGCAGCAGGACATTGGCAGCTTCAAAGCCTTTTTTATTGTACCTTATGCTATCACGAAAGGTTAATTTTTTCAGTGTGCTGCTGTGTCATGGGAAGAACTGTAAGAAGGGAAAAGCTGAGGGATTTAACAGCTAGATTTGGGCTATGTGCATTGGATACTCAGTAAAAGCTGGGACATAGTTTGCATTGTGATATAAGGACATTAATTGGAAGTTGCTACTGATATGATAACAGTGAATAGTTAACAGTGTTTCAGGGATGCTGATTCCTTGAGATGGAGAAGTAAACATCGCTCTTAAAGCCTGGGTTTCTGACTTGCATTTTTAGATGGAAGTAGCTGCATTGATTTGCCCTGGTTTCATATTTTCAAAGTCATCTTTGCAGCCCAAATGTTGCCAGTAATGATGATGATGATAATAACAAATGAGAATGAATTCTGTAATGCAGTTTTGCAGCAGGGATTTGCTTTCACAGCAAAGACTGTGCGTAGAACTGCTAGATATGTTGTAACTGAAGTGATCTGTTTTATTACATGCACATCTTATTAGTCATTTCTTTTTCCTTAAATTAATGTATTGTATTTTGAAGAAGCATATTTAGTCAAAATGGAAGGAACATATTTATAGTAAGACTTGCATTTCATCCAACATGACACACACTTCTAGCACTTCTGACTGCCTTTAGGAGAGGTAGCAATGTAATTTCAGCATTCAACAACACATTTACAGCCAAATATGTTTTGCAGATGGGATATTTGCTTCCAGAGGAGAAGTAAGCATGAATAGCAGCAACTGCACTTTTGAATCCTCATAGTTTAATGCTGCTGATATAAACCAGGCTTTGCACTGCCTCTTTTAGGAATCATGTATTATCAGGCAAAGCTGCATCTCTAGGTCATGGTAACTAATAGGAAAAAAGAAATTAAATGGATATGGTAACTACGAATTACAAACACTGTGGTTCTATTCTGTATGTGGTGTATCTGAGCAGTTAGTAGAAACAATGGTTGCTCTTTGGGTAGTTCTCATATTTAAGAGCCTCTGAGATGCCAACATTAAAGGTGCAGTGTAATAAGGAGGATTTGGTTCATGCACTTTTAAAAACATACCTGTTGCACTGAGCAAATCATGAGAACGTGGTAGCTAGTTAGGGTACTGGGCAGATGCCTCTTTGGGGCACGTTTGTTGGCTCTTTGGAATTTCAGACCGTACAGAAAGGCACAGAACAATAAGGAAGATCTTTCAGTCTTATAACCTGACTTAGGGTACAGGTCTGGAGGAGCTGTGATGTTAGCCCTGGGAATTCTTCCTTGCTGATACCCTCTGCCTTAAATGTATATACAATGTAAGTAAACACACTCTTAACATGTAATTGACTCAAGTAACTGAAGAGTCGATATTTTTGGCGTTAAATATTCTCAGTTTATGATGTCAGTTTACATAGAAACACTGGCAATTTGATCACTTACATCTCTCTGTTTGAAACTTCAGGTCAGAATTACTTTTGAAAAGATGTCAGTTAATTCTCTATGGATTTGTGTGAAGTACATTTTTCAATAACAAGCTGCATGAGGCCACGTGTATTTTACAGCTTTATCATATTAATATTTTTATTGCTTCTGTCGTAGGTACCATCTGGTTTGTTCATCCCCAGCATGGCAATTGGAGCAATAGCAGGGAGAATTGTAGGAATCGCAGTGGAGCAGCTGGCCTATTATCACCACGACTGGTTTATCTTCAAGGAGTGGTGTGAGGTTGGAGCTGATTGTATCACACCAGGCCTTTATGCCATGGTTGGTGCTGCTGCATGCTTAGGTAACTGAACTGTAACCTGAAAATAGGGGACTGATATTTTTAGTATTAGCAAAATAGAATTCTTTAAGGATGAAAGGAAAAAGCTGCAATCAAGCACATGTTTATAAGCAGGGATCCTGGTTTTCTCTGATTAAAAAAAATCTGCAATTTTCAGGTTAAAAAAGTAACCCAAAATCCACAGTTTTCTGTGATCAAAATGAAACGCCACTATATATATATTGATGTATTACTGGTGTTTCATTTTAATCACGGAAAAATGTGGATTTTGGGTTACTTTTTTAAACCTGAAAATTGGGGATTTTTTTTTATCAGAGAAAACCAGGATCCCTATTTATAAGTATCGGAGGAATTTTGTACACAGAACCGTGTACATAGTTGTAGGTACATAGGAAAATACATACATGTATCTATAGGAAATTATGATGATCAGAAGACTGGAATGTAACATTTACATAATTTACAAAATACAGATCAGTGATGTTCTATGGAATAGAAGAATTTAAATCCTAGGGTCCACTTTCTTTTGGACATGGAGAGACATTAATTACTGCTTAGTTAGAGGAAGGATTCTTGAAAGTTATATTTCCCACAATGGAGAGTTTGTTAATCAAGAGGCGTTAAAATTATTTTCAGGTATTTACCTTCCATCTGCTGCTGCTGGTTTCTGTATCTGTTCCAAAAATATTTTCTGGAAATGACATCAGGAAAGACAAGTGACTAATAATGATTTGAGGTGCTGGATTTGAGATGCTTCTAAGAGGTCTGGTTTTCAGAAAGTGCTGAGCTGCCACTCTCTGAAAATCAGCCCCTCTGATTGTGTCTCATGATGGGCACTAAGTTTGAATGCCTTGCTTTAGCTTCTTATATAGTTGACTTTCATTAAACTTTGACAAGCCATTTGTACAGTTCTCCATTTGAACAACTGTATCAGTAAACAATCAAATTAAAAGGTAGAAAAAAATTGAAAGGCTAAAAAGAACCTCGTCATAACCCTTTTTGAAAAACCCACCTAAAGCTCTTTACTCATGTCTTGAATATATAGGAAGAAGTCTGATGCACTCCTGTTCCTGAACGTGTTTAGATAACACAAGGCTATCAGAGCAAAAAACATTATCAACTAATTTTTAAGTACAGGGGAATGTTTTACACATATACTAAGCCACTGTTGATGCCATTGCCCTGCAGTATCTTATGTATCATCTAAAGAAATTGATCTAGCTAAATCCCTCCAGGAGGACACACATGATTTACAACAGAGGAAGAGAACTATTGAATGTTAAATTAGGAGAGAGAAATATAATTTGCGTCTTTCCAATTGCTCCAAGAGGAGGTCATTTTTGTCAGTTCAGGGTTTTCTTTCGAATGTATAATTGAGAAAAGCTAAAGCATTCAGTTCTTAATCCCTTTGAGAAGCGCAGCTCTCTAACTGCTTCTCACATTTCCCTTTATAAACAGTTTTGTTCTATTTTTACCAAATTCTGATCTTGGAGGTGTTTCCTTGAATATCTTGGTAGTTAATATTTTAGTTAAATAACACTGAAAAAAGAAATTTAGTGCTGTAAAGATTATTTCAGAATCTTTGGATTTTTAGTTAATTTATATGATAAAATCACACATGCTTTTTCTTTTGTAAGACATGATCTGTCTCTTCATTTCTTTAGGGTTCTTCTCTTCTAGTACTCCTGTTTTATAAGATATTCTGTTCTCCTATTGTAAGCTGCCCTGAGCCTTTTTTGGGAAGGGCAGCATATACCTTGAATGGACAAACAAATAAATAACACAAATATTCTGTTATTTCCAGAGTTCTATTATTTTCTTTTAGTCCTGTACCGGTTGCTGTTAGAGGGTATTCATTAGCTGAGGACTTTCATGAGCAAAGTCATTAACAGTTTGGTACCTGGCAGTTAATAGGAGATCAGGAAATTCCTCAGCTGGGATACTATGTCATTTTTACTAGCATATTTACAGAGTTGTTTTTTTTTTCTTTTGCAGGTGGTGTGACTAGGATGACTGTCTCTCTAGTAGTCATTGTATTTGAGTTAACTGGGGGCCTGGAATATATTGTGCCCCTCATGGCTGCAGTAATGACCAGTAAGTGGGTGGGTGATGCCTTTGGTAGGGAAGGCATCTATGAAGCACATATCCGGCTGAATGGATATCCTTTCCTGGATGCTAAGGAAGAATTCACTCACACAACACTGGCTGCTGATGTTATGAGACCTCGAAGAAGTGATCCACCTTTGGCAGTTCTGACACAGGATAATATGACGGTGGACGATATAGAAAACTTGATCAATGAAACTAGCTATAATGGTTTCCCTGTTATAATGTCAAAAGAATCTCAGAGACTAGTGGGATTTGCTCTAAGGAGAGATTTAACTATTGCAATAGGTAATTATTTTCCAGTACTATATAATCATATGTTCTTTAAAGCAGAATTTACTGTGTATGCCTTCCTTTTGTGTTAAACTGTTTCATATTTCTCAAAATGCAGCTAACATGGGCTTCTGGCTCCTTCCTTATTGCTGGGACTAAGAATCTTAGAACTCCATTTTAGAGCCATGGCTGAGACAGACAACTTTTATTTTCTTGTCTCTTTCATAAGAATTGCCACACAGGACTAGACCATTTAACCATATAGTTTGCTATTCTGCCTTCAATAGTAGCCAATACTGGCTGCAGAGGAGGAAGTTATGAAATTCTGGTAGCAGAACGAATTATGTAATATAGCACCATGGAAGGAAGCCTAGTTCATTCAGTTGCTGTTCCTGTATCTCTTGTGGCTTTGTTCTAATGCTTCCTCAGTTGAGATGCTACTCCTTTAAGTTGTCATTTCCAACCTGTGGTGTCCTCTAAGAACTGAGTCACCTCTCTGTGGGCAACCTGAATTGGACTTCAAACTTAATGTTGTATTTCAATTGTAATGTTCAATTTCAATTATAACCTTTTGGGCTGATTGACATATTTTAATTCATAAACTAGAATGCTTAAATTGGATTGCTGTTAAAGATTTGTTAAAAGAATGGTTTTCTTATAATTAGAAGATGATGCAGCACTATAGTTTATTAACTGCTTTTTTTAATCAGTTTCAAATCAGAATGCCCCAGTATAATCAACATTGTGGCATTCTCTTAAATAAGGGGTGGGCAAAATACAGCCCATGGGCCGGATCCAGCCCGCAAGGCCGTGCTATCCAGCCCGTGGGGCCCCTAAAAAAAAAATGTAGAAAATCAATATTTCTCTGCCCTTAGTTCCTGCCAAAAATGACAGGAACCAAGGGCAGTAGGACCCAGGGGAAGCCCGGCGGGCTTCAATAACAGCAGGGCCTGCCCCCCAGCCAGAAGCCCCAGCCAGGGTTTCTGGGCTGGGAGCACGTGGCTGCCCTGGCGTGGGAAGCTCAGATAAGTGGGAGGAGGGACCCCGGGCAGGGAAGGAGAGCGGGGGGAAGCGGACCCTCCCTGCCCCACACCCAGTGCCCCGCGCTGCAGCTGCTTGCAGCCTGTGTGGGGCTGCCTATGCCCGCCTCAGACAGCCCCATGTGGGCTGCCAGTACCTGCAGTATGGGGCACCTGGTGTGGGGCGGAGGAGGGGCCGCTTCCCCCCCATGCTCAGCTTTTCCCTGGGCTCCTTCCCTGTGCAGAGAAAAGCCTCCCCTCGCCTGCCCCCCGTGCCCAGCGCCCCGTGCTGCAGGTGCTCGCAGCCTGCGTGGGGCTGTCTGGAGCAGGCACAAGCAGCCCCAGGCAGGCTGCAAGCGGCTGCAGGGTGGGGTGCTGGGCATGGGGGAGGGGAGGGCGGC